GGGGGGGCGCAGATGCGGTTTACGGCGCTTCGAAGACAAGCAGTAAGCGCCTGCTGGCTCCCCCCTTTACCGCCCCCGCCGCCACCCCGGTGGTCCTCACGCGCCGGCAGCCCGGCAGGACCACTAAGCGGACCGCCATAGACGGGTTAGAGGCGGCAAAATGTTATATTTGATGAAAAATGGCGGCCCCGCCCGCCGCAGAGGACCTCCCCGGCCCCCGCAAGGCGGGCGTAGCACGGCGCGCCCCAACTTTTTCCCACCCGTCCGCACGCCCGCCCACGACGGGCTGCGATATTGTTTTAATATGGCCGAGCAGGACATTTACCTCTGCTCGCCGAGGACGGGCAACACAACGGTGGGCGATCAGAATGGGATGGGGGTGGGGGCGAGGTCACCGCGCAGCGAGCCTCGGCGTCAGCGCAAGGGCCGAGAGGCTGGCCGTGGTCAGCCCTCTCGACTGCCAAAGGGACCCGCACGACCCGGCTACTCAGAAGGGCGTCGAGCACCACCCGGCTACCCAGAAGGGCGTCGAGCACCACCCGGCCACCCGTCCGGCACCCTTGTCCAGGAGGCAGGCGGGTGGGGCTGCAGGGCGCCGGGCAAATGGCCGGCCGATCGCAGCGCTATGCGGCGCGGGGAGGCACTACTAGTCGCCAACTACACTTCTGTATTATTCATGAAAGCGCGCTAAACCATTAAATTGTCGCTACGCGTGACAAACCGGCGCGCCTGGAGCTAAGAGAGAGTCGCCGGCAGAGGAGCGGGAACCAAGGGCGGGGAGGGGGATGAGAGGAGGAGGGGTATTTGAGCAACTAGACGGCCGGCAACTTTGAGAAGATTCCAATAGATAAAAATAACACGAAATCAAAAAGACGGCATACCTGCGGCGATGATGTGGTAGACGCAGGGCACCCGCTGGCTGCCGATGCGGTTCTTGGCGTAGCACAGCAGCGTGCCGTAGTCGAGCTCCGTCATGGGCGTGTAGCTGACGGTGGAGACGGTGCCGTGCCGCGTGATGTGCGACGTCTCCACCTCCACGCTCTCGGCCGAGTTGTTGAACGTCCACCGGAACTCCACGTCGCCCGGGTTGGCGTCCACGGCGCACGAGATGTTGGCCTTCTCCTGCTTGGCCACGCCGTGCACCCGCGTCTGGTTGGGCTCGCAGGTGGGCGCGACTGCAACAGCAGGAAAGGTGGTCACAGGACTGGGCGACACTTCCTCGACACGCCAAGGAGCCCCCTCCCCCCTTGCGCACCGACGGCTGAGGGCGCCGCCCGCATCAGCTAAAATGTTTAGGCCGCAAAGCGGGGCGCGTAAAATTTTAGCGCACGATCATCTTGCCTCGCTCACCCACCCACC